TTCGTCCCATGCTGCAGGATCGAGTCTTCAAGGGGCAGGTTCAGCCCAGGCTGCAGCTCCAGCAAGAGCTTTTGGATTCTCTGGCAGTGTTGAATCCAAAAGTCAGGCTCTCTTGACTGGAGCCGAAAGCCAATTAGCAGCAGTTTAGCTTCATCAACTTCCTGACTGAATGCAAGTTTTAATTAAACATCCCATTTTAATTAGTCAGGCATCACATACAGTAAGCTTGCCTCAAGATTCAAAGGCTGTAGGTCCTATGCTTTAATTAAAAGAAGGAAGCACATGATTTCAACTCCAGCATCTGTGACAGCTCCTCGTCCTTTCAAGGGTACAAGCAGAACAACTGGGAACAGCATCTTTTCTTGCCGCGGCTTATTCCTCTTCTCTTCTACTTCCATATGGATGCTCCAGCATAGGAACTGGCTGAGAGATGGCTTGGTTGGAAGCAGAGAAGAAACAGGGGCTGGCTGCAACACCTGGGATGTCAGAGCAGATAGTGGCCTCTCAGTATAATGCCAAGAGTTCTTCTGGGGTGGATTTTCTGTCCTGGGGTGACAGGGAACACCTAGCCCATCTGTGGCTGGTAAGGAGGTGCATTCATCTGAAATCTTAGGTGCAAATGGCCTTTGAAGGCCATGGTCTGCAGCAGCCCAGAGCAGGTGGCTTTCACAGGGCACGCACTTAAGCTGTGAACTCCTCGCTACAGGACCCTGTGGATGATAAAAGCTTTTGTTGGTCCACGAGGAGACAGAACAGTTCTGTGGAAGAGAAATCCAAGGAGGGTTACCCAGGCTACATGCAAGCCATGCCAACCTCCTGAGGTTCCTGAGCTGTGAACCATTGGAGGCTGGAGGAGCACCGTTGTACAGAAGATGCTGCGCTGGGGTGTACATCTGGCCTGACCTTGAACAGAAATGCCCTTTCTTGATCTTGTTTGAATTTGTGACCTTTCACCATCGCACACAAGCTTTCCTGCACGTGGGGGCAGCCCTTGCGGGCTGGGGGCAGGCAGCTCAGAGCTGCACAGCTCCCGGGTGGGCATGGGGAGGGGGCTTCCAGCTGGCCAGGGCTAGCAACTGAGTTTTGGCTTGCAGAGGAGCCCTCCTCTCCACTGAGCAGAGGAGGAGACTGGTGTCTCTCCTGCAGGTAGTCCAGGCACTTTCTCAGGTGTTGGAGCCTGCAAGAGAGTTGGGGTTCGAAACGAGGGCAACTTTCTTGCTCTTGTTGGTGGCCAACGCCAGCTGGCTTCAGGCTTTTCTCGGTGTGCCAGATGGAGCCGTCACACAGAGCCGGCTCCGCGAATCCGGCATCCAGTGCCGAGCGGGACCCGATGCCTCCTAAAATAACACACCCAGCTCCCTTCTCGCCTCAAGGTAAACCTGGAGGAGCTCCATCACTGGCAGCTGGGTTATACGGGAGGAGAACCAGACCAGCCCCTCTGAGAGACGGTGCGGAGTTTAAAATGGTGCTTTTCTCCATTTCTTGGAGCCTGCTCAGCCCTACTGAGCCACCAGCCTTCTGCACCAACTGCGCTCATCCGTGCTCTGGGGCAAGGGAGAATCAGAGAGGGACAGAAATCCCTTTGTCAGCCATGCCTGGGAAGGAGGGTTACAGAGCTATTAGCGAGCACAAAGAGAAGGGGACACAAAGCTCTGGGGACAGAGATTTAAAGGCTTAGCTCCCATTAACGCTAATATGAATTACAGAAGTCTCTTCTTGCTGCCTTGAAACAAGAGCACTGAAAAAGAGGCCAGCTTTCTGCAAAGAACAGATTCACTTGCTTTTAAGACACCGCTAAATGGGATTTTTTTTCATTTCACACTCATTAATTCCCCTGCCTGTGCTAGCTCAAGGTGGGACTCTGCTCCGGTCCAGCACCTGCGAGCTGGCTGGCCCACTGCACGCCGGAGATGCCGGCTCTCCATCCAACGTCCCCTCCTCTGCGGGCGGGCGGTGGTCTCCAGAGCGGGGTTCCCGGCCCTGAGAATCCCCAAAGATTTGGTTTCCACATGGAGATGCGAAGTGCCACGTTTGAGGTTTTCGCAGGGAGGGGAGATCCCTGTGTGTCAGAAAGATTAACAGCATCGTGTTTCCTGCGGTCTGGTACAGCACCCGTGGGAGACAAGATCTGAGGTCCTTCCAACCCCCTGCTCCCGTGCGGAGGATTCCTGAGTCTCCATCTCCCGCTCTCTCCATGTTGATCACACGGTTGTGGGCAACCTGTGACTCTGCCTTCCGTGTCCGGTGATTAAATCCTTCTCCGAAGTGACAGACTGCATTAAAGCTTGGGTTTGCTCCAAGGGTCATGGAAGGTACCTGTAGAATTTACAGCCCCAATCTGTCATTTAATTTCTCTCCGCAGCCTCTGACTTATTAACATAATAACAGAAACCAGGAGGACTTTGTTTTTCTGCCGTGTACAGTTATGGATCACGTTGTCACTGCGCCTGCAGGGCTGCCCTTGGTGAATATATTCAGGCATGCCCGCGAGTCCCTGCGCACATTCCCATATGCGCTGCGTTGTCATATAGCATTAATTCACCGTGTTTAATGGGCTAACGGTGATGGCTTGCAGCTCCGAGTCCCCAGAGGGGTGACTCCTGCCATGGGCAGCGGGGATGCAGCGGGAGAGCTGGGCAGATGTTTGTGTCAAAGGGACGTGTCCGGGAACGTGTCTGGGCTCCGGGAGAGCCTCTGCGTGGTGGGGGCCCTTCCTGGAGATCGGCATGAAGCTCATGACAATGAAAAACTAAACCTTGATGCTCCTGTGTCCAGTGAGGAGCCTGTGGCCACCCATACATAGGAACTGGCGTCACCGGTTTGCACAGGTGATGCTGGTGCTGATGCTCTTACTACTGATTGCTGTGAGCTGGGCAGGCCCATGTCAGCACCCCGATTTTCATGCCAGGGACGAGGGCAGAGCAGGGTGTCCACTGTGCAGCTCATCAACCTTAAGATGATGGAAAAAATACAGTTTCCTGACTAGCTCTTGCCTGCAGGCACTGATGGCATTGAGAACTTCTCAGTGCTGCGCTAAGAAGGGAGATGCAGTGTGAGACCTCAGGGAGGGACACTCTGAAGGCGAGGGACCATCTTTTTCTTTTTGTGGACAGGCTCAAAGCTTGCTGTGCCGTGGAAGCCGTTGTGCTGTGAGGCTGGGGGTGTTCGGGGTGAAGAAGCGTGGACAGTGCACGCTGGCATTGCAGAGCTCTTACTAAATTTTAAGAGCACATTTAAAATGCTTTCCCATTAGGAAAACCTCAAAGAGTTATGTTGATATAAAGATCCCCTTTCTGAAATGTATGTTGATAGAAGAAAAAAGCCCCCCAAAGATTTTATTAAAGGAAAAAACCCACCATGCTGCAGTTTTAATGAGGTGCTTGTAAATACAACAAACTCCCGCTGATTTTCGCTATTAATCGCCTGCGTTATCAAAAACCAGGTCCCTGCAGCGCTCGGTTCTCAGCAAACCACCTTGCCAGGCTTAACATGTCTTCCTAAATCTGGGAGGGCTGGAGCCATGCGTGGGCTGTGGAGGGCGAGCGTGGGGCAGGGCGACGGCGGCTTTTGCAGGGGCGCAGCGGGGGGGACGAGGCAGGGCTGGGTTGTCCCTGCGGCGCGTGGGGCTGCCAGCGCCGTGGGGAGCAGCTCGGGCTCCGACCTCGGCTCTTCCTCCAGCCTC